GCTTACCAGCGTAGAATCGAGAGGGCATGCCAAAGTAAAGTTGTTCCTCGACAGTTCAGGGAAGGAGACATAGTACTCAAGAAAATCTTCTACACTCCTGCAAACCCACACCCTTTAGGCAAGTTCAAACCTAATTGAGAGGGGCCATTCGTGGTCTCCAGAGTGCACGCAGGTAATTCTTTTAAGATCAAGAATCAAGAGGGGTGCGAGCTCAACGACCCCATCAATGTGATGTATCTCCTAAAATACTACACGTAATAGGCTCAAAAGAGTGGTGAAAGCCTGAAAAGGCATAAAAAAAAATAAAAAAAAATGGATGTGGTGAAAACCTGAAAGGGCATCACGAGTTAGAAAAAAAAGAAAAAGAAATCTCCAAGAAGGATCCTCTAATTCAAAAACACGTCAGTACAAACAAGTACTTGCAAGTTCCAACAATACGACACAAGCAGACCCTGAGGACGAAGACTCCTCCTAAACCCTATAAGTTCCCAACATAACCAACTCAGAAAGATGTCGGAGATTGATATAAATGGAAAACTGAAGTGACTTTGACGAATCCTGGAAGAACATCAGGACCTCTCCAAGATAGAAGCTCGGCAAGAATCCAGAGAACTCTTCATGGACCCGCGAAGCACAGGATGAAAGCTCCAAAGGTAAAAAGACAACTTCAAGACTTTTGAGTTCTCACAATCCCACAAGGAAATCCTTTCATCATCTTTGGGTAAAATATAGTAAAAAAAATGACCACCAAAGGGGCCACAGGTGGCAAAACTATAAGGCCTGTCCCTTTCCAAAGCGTTTTTTTAATTTGATTGTTAAAACCCTTCATTTCCAAAACCTTTTTAGAAAGGACTTCCTCTATCACTACAAGAGGTTAAACTGTTAGTTGGTCTGGCCTTATTCTCGAAGCCAACGTCCTACGCCTGTTATGAGGGCTTGAAACTAGTCAGGTACTCCATGGTTTTATGAGTATAACTACCAACTACCACATATTGGAGATGGGTGAACCTCGCCAATGACGATATTGGTTAGTCTGGGAGTGTTTTTTCTCTCGATTGAATTCCCTGAGGCGAAATGAGGCAAGCTCATCCCCGTGTGTGCGTAAGATGTTCCAAAGTCCAATTTGAAAAACGTCAGACTCGTGTGACGTAAAAGAACCGAAATACGATAAACGTCAAACTCGTGCGATGTAAAAGAGCCAAGGCAGGATAAACATCAAACTCGTACGACATTAAAGAGCCGAGACAGGATAAACGTCAAACTCAAGCGACGTAAAAGAGCCGAGACATGATAAATGTCAAACTCGTGTGACGTTACAGAGTCGAGACAGAATAAACGTTAAACTCGTGCGACATAAAAGAGCCGAGACAAAAAAAGAAAAGAAGTCAAACTCATGCGACGTTAAAAAGCCGATACAGGAAAAACGTCAAACTCATGCGACGTTAAAGAGTCGAGATAGGAAAAACATCAAACTCGTGCGACATAAAAAAGCTAAGACAGCGACCATCCAGCCCCGTATGACGTGAAAGTTCGGGTGTATCTAGGGCAGAACCACCCTGTTCAATGCAAAAACATCAAACTCATGCGACATAAAAGAGCCAAGACAGGTATCGTCTAGCCCCATTTTACGTGAAAGGTTGGGTGTATCCATGACACAACCACCATGTTTCAATGGAAAAATGTCAAACTCCTGTGACGTAAAGAGCCGAGGAACGTACCGTCTATCCCCGTATGACGTGAAAGGTCGGTTGTATCCAGGGCACAACCACCCTGTTCGATAGGAAAATGTCAAACTCGTGCGACAAAAAAGAGTCAAGGCAGGTATCATCTAGCCCCGTATGATGCAACAAGGTCGGGTGTATCCAAGACACAACCACCCTATTCTATGGATTCCGTCTATTCTCCGTATTGACGTAAAAGGGTCGGGTGTATGGTCCATCGCTGCATGACGCTAAACTTCTTAGAGGGCTCTATGGTTGCAGGAGTTAAAACTGCTAACCAACCTTGTTTTTTGAATTATCTTTCCCTTTTCAAAATTGTCACTATATGTCTTGTATTTTCAAAAACTTTAATTTCATTGTTAAAATCGTAACTTGTCTTTGCTCCGAGTTCTATTTCAAATCTCCCCCTACTTTCAAAAATTCTAAAAAAAAAATTCTTAAAAAAACTAAAGAGTCACCCGTATATGATGATTATTGTGTTGCCGCGTTGCTGCCTCGTCTCTTACTTCGAATTTGGCCAGACAAGTCTCTTCCTATAGAAAGCCTTTTCCTATAAATAGGGAACGCCACTTGTCCCTCGAAGGACAAGGAACGCCAAAATGTCTACTTCTTTGCCACTCACCTATCCCTCAAAGGATAGGGAGTGCCAAAGAGGCGCAACTGTAGACACCCCATTTTAAATCTTGTAAATTTTATGGTTTTTTGAACCACTAGGACCACATTATCCTAGTGGACCCAATTTAATTATCCCAAAACTACCCAAATCCTATCCCAATTTGAAGTAGAACCCAAGAGCTTTCTAAAGGTCCAAGAATCACTTGAATCGGACCTATGGATAAAAGATATAACAAATAACAATTTAGTTCCTATGAGACTTAACTGTCGGCTCGCGGGCCGGGCTGTAATGGGCCTGACAGGCCCATCTGCTGGCTGATGATGCAGTCAACGCATCTGATGATGTAGTAAACACGTTTTCTTTAATTAGATAAAGCTAAAACTTCAAGATAAATAAAAAAGCTTATGAGAAAACTCCAAAACATTTAGAAAAAATCATCAATTAAATCTTATAAATACCCCCTCTCCCTAACCCAAAAATAGAAAAAAAAGAGACAAAAAAACCTTAGAAATTTTCAAAATTAGGAAAATTACCCAAAAATACCAAAAAAAGGAAAAACCCTTATAAAATTTTTAAAAATTTAAGAAAAGTCTCCTAAAATCCCAAAACATTAGAGAAAATATCAGAATTCATAATCAACCTCTACATATCACAAAACCCTTAGAAAACTAATGAAATTTTCCTCTAGACCGCGAGAAAGAGATCACAAAACCCTTACAAAACTAAGAAAATTCTCTTCCGGACCTCGAGAAAGATTGACAGCTTTAGAAATTTCTCTAGATTGAAAACCCTATAGAAGATAGAAACCATAGCCTCCTGAAATTCTAACCCCCAAGACTGAGAAAACCTTGACCTAGGGCACAAAAACCCTAGATCAAAACTAGAATTAGGGTATAATAACCTTAGATCTAACCCTTTACACCAGAGATTTGCTGGTCAACATTTGAATTAGAGAGGCAAAGATGACCGGTTCTGATATGGACGAGCGCTTGAAGGCTCGAGAATCCCGGGCCATTCGGCCCGATTTGGTATTATTTCTTCCTCTCTCTTTCTTCTTCTTTTTGTTGTTTTGGTTCTTTTATTTATTTTTGATTTGTTAACTTATCTTAAAAATCGTTTTTTAATGCTCTGGATCATGCTGGCTCTGCCACAGATTCGAGAGTGGATCCGCTCGTTTTCCGTCATATCTGGCCTCAAATATGAATTCAATTTGTCTCACTTTCTCTACCACTTTATTTACATATTTTTAATTAGTTTAAGGTGTTAAAATTCAAGAGATCTTTAGCGGAAGATCTATCAGATTTTCATCATAAACAAATATCTTTTTTCAATAATTATAATCCTTTTAGCAGTTGAACTCCTTAAAGCATGTCTCTCTTAAAAATCCTAATATCGTTAGGACTCACATAACATATCTGGATTGACTTTAGTCAACAAGTTCTCAACTTAAACATATATCTTCAAACCAAGATAAAAGATGACTTCCCTCTTTAAGTGGGGCATGCCACCTATGTAACCATGGGTGGGCCCCACACTAATGCAAAAGAGATAACAAACCCCCCCCCTCCCCCCCCCATACCTACATATTTGATATTTTTTAAAACATAAAATGGATTTTTAGAATATGTAATGTAGACTTTATTTTTCTTTGAATATTCGAATACTAAAAATTTGAATATTTTTTAATTTTGTAAATTCATTTTGCAAAAAAATATCCACAAATATATAAAAATTCAAATAATATTTCTAAAAAATAAATTAATATCAAAATAAACAAAAATAAATAATTTTGATGGGAATAAGATCCTCTGTGCTTAGGAATTAATAATTCTAAAGAATTCATGGTCCACATGGTCAAGCACAGCAAAAGATCAACTCCCCATCTGAAGTCCTCCAACTTCCACCAAAGCCCGAAGGTACTGGTTTGCCTAGAGAACTTCCATCGGAATTTAATTTCACACACCCTATCTCTGGTGGTAACCGTCGTCCCTTAAGCCTTACCTTAACCAATTTTTGGTTAATCAAATTATGTAGATTAACTTCCATATCAACTTGAATGGCATGGGGCCTCAGCGGTAGTATTATCGCGCCCCCTGATGAGGTCTCTGACGCCATTCTCACCAATAGGTAGGGGTCCAAATCCCCACTAGCTTACTACTTTTAATTACCCTAAAAAGAACGTCCATATCAATTTTTGAAACCCCAAAACCTTCCTTGGTTATGAAAAACCAACTCCATAACGAATTCATAATCCTTCTGCTCACCATTTCCACCTCCAACGCTTCGTTCTAAAAAATTCTTCTATTCCACTCCAACCAAATCTCCCAAAGTATTGCCACTCTTGCAATATCTCTAATTACTCTCCTTACTTTAGGTAATTCCTCCCAACACAAGTTATTAAGAATATTCATATGATTGCTAGGCAAGATTAAATTGTATCCCATTTTCTGAAACATCTTTGCCCAAATATACAAAGCAAAGGAATAATGAAGAAATAATTGATCTCCACATTCGTCATTTTCTTTGCAAAAAATACACACATTAGTTATAATTCTACCCCGTTTAATCACATTATCTACTTTAAGCGTCTTTCCTTGGAACAAAATGTACAGAAAAATTTGGATTAAGGGACCTTCGAACACTAAATTCTTCTCAGTAATGGCTCACTCCATCGCACTCTGTCATGAAACAGCAAGTTATAAGTCAATTGAACGGAAAATACATCACTGTTCTCCACTTTTAGGTTGGAGGTTGTGGAATTCTTGCTGTATGGGAGGCATCGAGTTATGTAAATTATCATAATAATTCTTTGGTGGCTCCCATCTTTTTGCTCTAAGCAAATATTGAGGGACACTATGTGGTATGGACCTCATATTATAATATGCTCCTAGGTCCAACGCTGCATTATATCAGGATATGATAAACTATACTTACTTTTGGAAACTAGCCTAGACTATTATGCTTGTGTAAGATAAGAAAAATATGGTTTACCTGCATAAGAGTGGTTGAGCCACTAAAATGTCTACACTTAAAAGTACAAGACTTTTCGAGAGAACGATACAGATAAGCGAGGGATGCAACACCCCAAGCATATCCGCTAGCTTGTTCAGTATCCTCAAAGAATTGCAAATATCTAGTTAGCATTGTTGCCTGCGATGCATATGAGAAAATGGTGATGTTGATGAGGAAGAGCAGCTAGGGACAGGTGTACCTAATAATGTCCAGAGTGCCTGCATCAGGTGGTAATATACGAAATTTTTGGCCTTCAACTATGAGGGCTTGATGACTGGCAAGTTACCTCTAGGGGGACTTCACCCAATTGACTTTCTATGTACTCCCGGTAGTCATTAATTGGACGATAGGTCACAGGTGCGCCATCCACAACAAGAGTAAGGATCTCATAAACATCGAAGAGTGTAGGTGTCATCTCACCAATTTGAATATTGAAAGATAGAGAGTTTGTCTCAGAGCGCCACCTGTTTGTATTGTCTGTGATTAAGGGATGGTCTATTTGACTTAGCTGGATAATAGACAAACCACCCAGTCTAGACGCATTCACTAGCAAAATTTGCTTTTTGGTTAGATTCCAATCGCCCAATTGATGGGCTCTCTCATCAATTCTTATTTCCATTTTCTCCTAAAATACAAATAGACAACATATGAGTCACAATGCAAATACATATACTTCCCATATGATATTTAAATGGACTACAATGTATTAAAAAATGACGAATTAACGGACCGAGAAGATGAATATGTTCATATACATGTCCTTCCCAATTATAATAGGACGAATGACCTTTATGCAACTGCATCAAATTGGGGTCCCTATGGCCTCCTGCGTGTGATGCTGATGAGGAAGAGTAGGTAGGCACGGGTGTACCTAATAACGTCTAGAGTGCCTGCATCAGGTGGCAATATACTAAATTTGGCCTTCAACTATGAGTGCTTGATGACTGTCAAGTTACCTCTAGGGGGCCATCACCCAATTAACTTTCTATATACTCCCAGTAGTCATTAATTGGACGATAGGTCACCGGTGCACCATCCACAGTAAGAGTAAGGATCTCATAAACATCGAAGAGTGTAGGTTTCATCTCACCAATTTGATTATTGAAAGGTATAGAATTGGTCTCAGAGCGCGCCACCTCTTTGATTGTTTGTGATTAAGGGATGGTCTATTTGACCTAGCTGGATAATAGAAAAACCACCTAGTCTGGACGCATTCACTAGCAGAATTTGCTCTTTGGTTAGATTCCAATCGCCCAATTGATGGGTTTTCTCATCAATTATTATTTCTCCTAAAATACAAATAGACAACATATGAGTCACAATACAAATACATATACTTCCCATATGATATTTAAATAGACTACAATGTATTAAAAAATGACGAATTAACGGACCGAGAAGATGAATATATTCATATACATGTCCTTCCCAATTATAATAGGACGAATGATCTTTATGCAACTGCAGCAAATTGGGGTCCCTAGGGCCTCCTGGGTATCCTCCATCTGGATGGGTACAATCCATGATCATTGAAACCCCATATGACACCATGTTAATCATAAGGTTATATATGCAAAACTTAACTGATAAACGGTTTTAACCCCATATGGTCACCATGTTAATCATAATGTTATATATACAAAACTTAACTGAATAATGGATAAACAATAATGCCATGCTATTAAGCGGAAAAGATAGTCAGTTTTAGACCATAACCTAGTGTTATGGAGCGTTTCAGCTCAACCTATAGGTTCCAATACAAGTCTCATACTTGGCTTATCATCATTTTCCTCTCTTTACCATTAACCATTACAATAACAAGCACTAATCTATGAAAGGACATGATAATACAAATAAATGAATATCGAGATACCTAGAACTCATCACACATTTGCATAATAGAATCAATGAAACAATGCTTAGTCACATAATTTAAACCTCCAAATAGGTGGTCACAAATTTATCGATCGAATGAGATCTCAAATAAATCTAGTCATGAATTATTCTATCCAAAATATTGAAGCATTAAATTTTTTATTTCCTGTGTACTCCTAAAACCACGCGCATTTGCAAAATGTTCAATACTTGCATCATATTCAGATACAAATTTTAATTTTTAAGCTACTCAATCTATCGAACAAAAAAATCAACCCTTTCTTAAGATATCACTATATCTATCTGGAATTTGTACTTAAAACTATCTAAGACTACCAAAGTTATCATACAATAAAACATTGCTATGAATTGTGAAAAAATGTTTAAATGCAATAAAAAATCTGTAAACATTCAAAACAAAGCAACACAACAACAATGTATGCAAATGCAATAATTAATTAGTATTTAGCAACACAACAACAATATATGCAAATGCAATAACTAATTAGTATTTAGTATCTACAAGATGTTTCTTGTTCACTCTCAATTTAAGTCAGAAACAAGTATCATGTGGTCAATTGAAAGATCTTGTGATCAAATGGTGAATTGTAAAAACCCTTACATTAATCAAAGGAAAACATATAAAAGAGAGAATCAATATTCAGTTATTATCAAAACCAACACAATTTTTTATGCCCCAGAAGTAGTGAAACAAAACAAACGGCACTAATACCCAGCTGTGTAAATTTCCCAAAACCAAATAGCCACACTATCGCATTACATCTTCTCCTCCTAGCTCTGTCTGGCACTAGCATGATCAATCATATGAAGTAAAATGACGGGCACCATAACACATTTATGTATATTACATTTTTGAAATCCAAATTCAAGAACACTAAAATGCAATTTTTAAATATTGAAAATCCAAAGATTCCATTTTCAAATAAGTTTGGTTTACCAAAATCTGAAATTGTTGTTGACATTAAGATGCAATTCTTGGATGTTGAAAATCCAAAAATCACAATATTCAGATTTTAATATTTTTAATTTTCAAAATCCAAAAATTACAATTTTAAATGGGCTTTGAAAATCCAAAAAGGGCAATTTAGTCCTTTAAAAAATTTATGAGGTATTATTGTGATAATGGTTAGAAAACAGGTAGAGATTACTACTGAAAAAAATTTACAATAAGTTTTAAAATAACATATAAAAAATAGATATAATTTTAATTTTCTCGATTATCAAACTTGTATATATTATATTATCAACTTTTTATATTTAGGGGTAGTCTATAAATGGACAATTTATCTTTTATATAAAGAGGTCACAAATCCCTTAAGTTTCAAAATGGGTGGTTGTAAGAGCCTCATTGAATAAGAACCAAGTTTTAAAAAAAAATTCTCGAACTTCGTGACTCACACAAAACCATCCAATTTGACATCTAATGAGGGAGAATAATCCAATTTGACATTTAATGAGGAAGAATAATTGTGATCTCCTTATACAAATGATGAATAGTCAAACACTTTGAAAATTAACGAATATATTTTCATATATAGTGATGATCCACGAAAAAACCAAGATCCGAACGATTTTGAATCGAATATACGAGATGACGTCACAGATCGGCTATTCCTATGGTGAATGGCGAACCTATGTATATAATGGTTGTCCACGCCCCCAAGGCCACTCCACGTGGCCTCTTCTGTAAGAAAAGTGAGGCAACACCTTGGCCCCCCCTTCATGTGTCCACGTCCCCGAAGGTGCCCTACCCCCTCCACATGTGCACGCTCCCCCATTGCAACACCTACTTACACGGGTGCCACTTCACGCGTGGGTTTCATTGACTTCCCACCATTGCTTGCAAAACCGGTAGGACCAAACCGGAACTGGTCGGGTCGGTTTTCAGCTAATAGGACCAGTTCGTCTATATAACGGCGTTTTAGAGTCAACAATGGTAATGTATAAATAATAGCGTTATTTTGAACTAGAGACCGTTATATGTAGCAGGAAAACTGTGAATCCAAATTTTCACCTTTTTTTATTCTGTTTGCGGCCATTTTTTGGTTTCTTTTGTGTTTTAATGGTTTAAATCATTGTATAATGAATATAACAAGCAATTTGTAGTTAAACATTGAAAAAAAGAGAGTTTTTTTTATTGAAATGGCTGATTTTTTACAGATGGTACCTTCTATAACTAAGGCAGGGTCGGCTATTAGAGGTCCAACTGTGAAGAGCTTACAGGGCCATGTTTAGAAGCTGTTGTTCATGATGTCAATAAGCATATTGCGCAGTTCAAGGTCTGTTGGCTAGGTACAAGAGTGACTATCATGACTGATGGTTGGAAGGACAAGTCAATTTTTTAATAAGTTGTCCTAGGGGCATTGTTTACCACTCTAGCATTGATTTATCAAGAAAGAGACATACTGAGAGACTGATATGCGCACACTTGGACAAAATTGTTGATGAGGTTAGGCCTGAAAATGTGGTACAAGTAGTGACTGATAATGCTGCGAACTGCAGAAAAGCAGGCTTGTTGCTAATGGAGAGAAGACGCAATCTTTATTGGACTCTTTGTGCTGCCCATTGTGTTAATTTGATGCTTAAGGAAATAGGGAAGCTGAAGAGGGTTAAAACTTGTATTTTGAAGTGTAAGTTGATTACAAAGTTTTTATACAATCACACGTACCTTCATGCTCTGATGAGAGAGTATTGCATGCGAGAGATTGTCAGGGAGTCCACTACTAGGTTCGCTACAACGTTCCTTACTATACAATCGATATTGGTCAACAAGGCAGGATTGGGGTTAATGATATGCTCTAATGAATGACAGACTGATAGGGCAGCAATGAGTCAACATAGAAGGTAGGTTGAAACCATCATTATCGATCGGAGGTTCTGGGCTCGATGTAACCATGTTGTTTCTGTAACTGAACCTCTAATGCCGATGGTGATGTTAGCTGACTCTGATGATAAACTCGCAATGAGGTTTCTATTCGATGCAATAAGACGCGCAAAGGAAGCTATATTTGAGAATAATATATGGACTAAAGAGATATTAGAGATCGTTGGTAGTAGGTGGAGAGACCAACTTCACTGGGATATCCATGCAGCAAGTAATTTATGAATCATCATCGCAATTCATGATTCTTTCTCAACTATGAGTAAAGTTACTGTAATTAATAATATAACAAACCATGTGCATGGTTCTTTCTTAATCCACAAAACTTGTACTCCAATGCCACCTTAGATGATGTAGATATCATGGAGGGGGTAAGAAACTGCATCTACAAGCTTGAGTCTAATCTTGAAACTCAGATGGAGTGTATGTAGTAGGTAAACCTTAATCAAAATGTGTTTGTAATAAAATTTCAATTTAGAATAATGAATTGTATTTCTATGTTGTACTAATTTCTTGTATATGCATCTTGTTATTTCTAGCTTATTATGTACATAAAAAAATATGGGGAATTTGCATACAACAATGCCAAAAAAGAAGCTGGAAAATTGCACCCAAGTTAGTTTTTAAAACTTGCAATAGTTTAGTATAATACTATTTGTGGTTTTTTTAAATCAATTTTTTTTCTATTGTTAAGTATTTCTATGTTTGTTTGTGTCAGCACAATGGTCAATGATACACGAAATTCGAACAAAGCAATTTAATTTTGAGTCAAACCTGTACTTCCTTGGGTTGTGAGAGAAACTGGAGTACATTTCAGTGGATACACGCTCCTAGGCGGAATAGGTTAAAGACTTAGACGTTGCACAACTTGGTGTATGTTCATTACAATTTAAAATTGAGAGAGAGACATATAAGGAGGACCCCAATAGACTACATGTCGATCAACTTTGATTACATCTTCTGGAGGGACCTCACCGATGAGTGGGTATTACTAAGGACCCCACTACTAGACCAAGATTTTCTTAGGGGAGCAGTTGCCGATATGGATGATATTGTGGATGTTGCAACTTTCAATAAAAGAGACATGACAATGGATATGGATGACAATTATATATAGGATGAAGATGAGGCGCAAGATGATGAGGAGACATATGAGACAATGGAAAACAAATGGCGAGATCTAGTCGTCCAGGAATGTGAAGGGGCGCAACATGATGTGGTGTCCGATGAACAGAAAGATTTAATGAGATTGGCTCGGGAGGAAGTCCAGGTATCAAGGAGTAGCAGTTACTTGACAAGGGAGAGATGAAGCCGTAGCCGTCACCGTAACCTGGTTATTCATGATGATGACAATATTGAAGCTGCTGAGGGCTATAATATAGAACAGGGTAAGGGTAACATAGAACAAGGTGGGGGAGAGCATGAAGGCTAGACGAGTCCAGAAAAATTTGGCTAAGGGGGTATCGCGGGAAATGTTCCTGACTGGTGAGGGGCCATAACTGTGGGATTACAAACTCCACCAGGCCTTACTCAGATTTTTCGCCCCGTAGACCCTGATAGTGAAACACAATAGTACCATGATCTCCTCGCCACTCTCATCACTACTAACCATTGTTAGTTGGACTTTTTAACTTCATTAATTGAATTAATGTCAAATTATAAATTGTCTTGCATATCTTCATAGTATTCAAATATTAATTTATATAAAAAGTTGTTTCAAATTTTTTTTTTTGTAAGATAAATGTATGTAATATATAATATTTACTTAATCTAA